AGGTAGTACAGACTGCAGTACAGGTATTTTTAGCAGCATCAAATGTAAGAGCAAGATTAGGAACTACTGATAAAGTGAGGGAGACAAGCAATAGCTAGTATAAGAAGAGAGAGCATTATTATCCTCTTTGTAATGATTGTTTACTTTTTACTTCTCACTCCTTTTATAATATTTAAAAGAGCCTGACTAATGACGTCAGATTATACACTACATATTTGCAAAGGACATACTTTATATGGTAGTGTTTTTACTATGCTCATTATCAAAGGAGTGAGGAGTAAATAGTAAACAATGCACTCTCTTCTTATACTAGCCATTGCTTGTTTTATTACATTTTCTGATAAATATTAATGTACATAGGCTGTGTAGAAAGTTTAAACAGGTCCACAATGAGCAGCTCTTTTGATACGTCTGATATTCCTATAGTATTCCAGCACATCTTTATTCACTTGTACACCTGATGAATCAAATCCTTTGACACGAAGAGTCTTCAAACTCTTAGCACACAAGAGAACAACATAAGCTTGTCCAGTCTCAAAGACCCCACCTAGGGATATTTCTACACAGTCCAATGTCATGCCCTGGCTCTTATGTATAGACATGGCCCATGCTAGCTTGAGTGGTAGCTGCTCACGACTGAGGGCATTAGTCTACCTCATCCAGTATGGTAAACTATGATTTGCATAATACCTTTAATATGTATATGCATGGTTTAAAACCTTGTTTTGTTAGGCAAAAAACTTATAGACACAAGCAGGCAAAAATAATAAAGAATAGGCAACATTGAGAAATAAAAACAGCAAAAATTAGCAGCAAAATTAATGAAAAGGCAACATTAAGTTCAACTTTTATTTTATGTATATTTCATAAAATGATACTGGAGTATCCTCAGCATATGGACTCTCGTTTCCACAGAGTCTCATTTCAATGAAATCGCTTGTACTGTTTGGTAGAGTCTTATGGAACCATGGGAGGTTAGGATTGGTGCAGCATGGACTTTCGAGTGAAGTACACTGCTTTCCATCCCATAGTGGATCATTGGGATACATGACACCTGATTGATAATAACTGTCAGGATTACCAGATTCACAATAATAATCATCGCCAATGAAAGATTGCTTGGCAACAGTACTACCTACATAGCAAGGACAAATGTCAACGCCATAAAGAATATTATCAAATAGTGCTGACATTAATGTCCAAACATGTTTTCGAGGAGACCCACGTGTGATACTAATGCCATCGACATATATAGAGTCAAGATCTACCTGAGGATGGTTTGCATCAGTGTTTCCATATTGAAAAGCTGTGATTCTGCCACATATCTGAGTATAATTAACCCCATTTGGCCAGAATGAAAAAGAACTGCAACTGGCTCCTACAAGCTAGATTTCCTGGGCAGTTTTGAGTGGCGTCAGACATATCTAGATATCCTATTCTGGTCCATCCTCCTCCTGAACCACACAACTCTTCCATATTACAGTAAACATTATTTACTTCTCCTTCATAATTCATGTACAATATTGTAGTTCTTTGAAAAACTGCTTGGCCAATACTTTGTTACTCCCTTGCAAGATGATATTCTATCCCCATTAGAACAGGATTGCAGAGGTACTGTAGCTGAACTGATTATTAGCAGATTTAGCACAATAGTACAGAATAGCACAGACTTCATTATAGATCTATTTCTTCTATAGTTGATTTGAATAGTCCACTTATATAGGAAGCTACAGCATTGATTGTACTCATAATTAGAAGTCAATTTTTAATAGTCAAATAATTTTCATCTAAAATAAACATCATAATTCATGTCTAATTTTAGTTGTAAGTATTAGATCTATAATTTTTGGTTTTGCACTTGGACTGTGAAGCCATTGTTATCTACCAATACTAATACTAATACTACTCTAAAAATGTTCAATCAATAACAAATCTCAGAGTAAATTATTTGACATATAGTTCATAAAAACTAACAGGAACATCTTCATTGCTTGTTCCTTCATCAGCACACACCCTCAGCTCAAGGTAGTCAGTAGTGCTAGTGTTTAGTATCTTATTGAACCATGGAAGACCAGGAGCTGCACAACAAACACCTTCAAGACTACCACATCCTTTACTATCCCACAATGGATCAGATGCATAGTATATGAATTGAACAGAACCATCAGTAGCAGGATTACCAGATTCACAGAAGTAGTCGTTACCAATGAAAGACTGAAGAGTTGAGTTTTGAAGGCTACCTTGAGAACAAGGACAATTGTAACGACCATCCATATCAATGAAATTGTCAGTTACTCCAGCCATTAGTGTCCAGACATGTTGACGAGGAGACCCACGAGTGATACTAACACCATCAACATAATAAGAATTAATATCACTGTGACTAGCATCAATGACACTACCATATGTTTCACCTTGAAATCTGCCTGGATATGCTCCATCAGGGGTACTATACTGATATCCCACTACTCTACCACACACTTGAGAGTAACTGATACCATTAGATGGAAACTGAACTGATACACAACTGCCTCCACTTGATGCTGTTCTACCACAAGCTCTAACTCCTCCTGACTGGTACAGTCTGAACCCAGAAGGACAGTTCTCTGTAGAATCTGTCATATCCAGATATGCTAGTCTTGTCCATCCTCCTCCTGAACCACACAGCTCCTTCATAATACAGTAAACGAATTCACTTCCACCATTAGTTGCCAGTAGATACATACCAGAAGGACTGTTTGGTTGTTTGTTCTTAATCTCTTGACAAGAAGTAGGGATAGGAGAGAAGGAAGATGAGTCATTGTGTAACATGATAAGGTCTTCCACTAGTAGCAGTATATCATTGATAGCTCCAGCATTAGAGGTAGCACTCTCCTTGATATGAGAGAGAGAAGAAATGATACCATCCAGTTTTTGTTTTATTTCTTGAATATCTTGACCATTGTTCCTGGTAGTATTGAGTAGTTCATTTAATAGTCCATCATCAGTGTTGTATTGATTGGTATCAGTATTACTGGTATCACTGCAGGTAGTACAGGCTGCAGTACAGGTACTGTTAGCAGCATCAAATGTAAGAGCAAGATTAGAACTACTGATAAACTGAGGGAGACAAGCAATAGCTAGTATAAGAAGAGAGAGCATTATTATCCTCTTTGTAATGATTGTTTACTGTTTACTCCTCACTCCTTTTATAATATTCAGAAGAGCCTGACTAGTGACGTCACACATGATGCTGTATACACAGCTAAAGTATTTAAAGAACGTAGTTTAGACTAGTGGCTCATTAGGTCTTTACTCACTCATTGATCAAAAATGCACAGGCCATGTAACAAAACATGTTGATTACTGTTGTCACTTTAGACTACTGACTACTTAAACTATTGAGTGAATATTGAATGTTAATTACATGTACCAATACTGTTATTGTTCAGATTGAGATTGTGGCAGATAATCAACATGATCTGGTATTATTACATGATCTATGCATTTGATAGCCTGGAATTTTTTCTAAAAATATGGCTTGTCGTTTACTGTTTACTCCTCACTCCTTTTATAATATTCAGAAGAGTCTGACTAATAACTAATAATGACGTCAAACATGATGTTGTATGTAATGAGAAATCTTTAGTCTATAAAAATTGGCTCATCAACAAAATTGTTCAGGTGTCGTGGTAGTAAACTAGCACTAACAATATGCATACCTTCTGTAAAGTACATGCACATATTGAAATGCCATTAAATTTTTAATCAACTGACTACCTACACTACAAAACTAACTAAACGCATACACAATATCTATATCAAAATGATCGTCAGTATATTGCCATCATTTGACATACAACTCATAAAAACTAACTGGAACATCTTCACCACCTGTATCTTGATCCCCACATATCCTCATCTCAAGGTAGTCAGTAGTGGTAGTTCCCAGTTTCTTGTGAAACCATGGAAGACCAGGAGCTGCACAACAAGCACCTTCAAGACCACCACATCCTTTACCATCCCA